ATTTTAAAAATTAGTTTTTATTTATCGAAATTTTCCTAACAAAAGTTATTTTTAAGAATGATTTTTTAACTAAATAATAATTTTTTTTAAATAATTTTAAAAATTAGTTTTTATTTCTCGAAATTTTCCTAACAAAGATTATTTTAGGGATGATTTTTTAACTAAATAATGATTTTTTTAAATAATTTTAAAAATTAATTTTTATTTTTCGAAATTTTCCTAACAAAGATTATTTTAGGGATAATTTTTAACTAAATAATAATTTTTTAAAATAATTTTAAAAATTAGTTTTTATTTATCGAAATATCTCTAACAAAGGTTATTTTAGGAATGATTTTTTAACTAAATAATAATTTTTTTTAAATAATTTTAGAAATTAGTTTTTATTTTTCGAAATTTCTCTAACAAAATTATTTTAGGAATGATTTTTTAACTAAATAATTTTAAAAATTAGTTTTTATTTTTCGAAATTTCTCTAACAAAATTATTTAAATAGTGACTATTTTAGTCACTTGTAATTTTTTAAATAATTTAAAAAATTTGTTTTTATTTTTCGAAATTTTTCTAACAAAGATTATTTTTAAGAATGATTTTTTAACTAAATAATAATTTTTTCTAAATAATTTTAAAAATTAGTTTTTATTTTTTTAAATTTCTCTAACAAAGATTATTTTAGGGATGATTTTTTAACTAAATAATAATTTTTTTTTAAATAATTTTAAAAATTAGTTTTTATTTATCGAAATTTTCCTAACAAAGGTTATTTTAGGGATGATTTTTTAACTAAATAATAATTTTTTTAAATAATTTTAAAAATTAGTTTTTATTTATCGAAATTTTCCTAACAAAGGTTATTTTAGGGATAATTTTTTAACTAAATAATAATTTTTTTTAAATAATTTTAAAAATTAGTTTTTATTTTTCGAAATTTCTCTAACAAAATTATTTTAGGAATGATTTTTTAACTAAATAATAATTTTTTTTAAATAATTTCAAAAATTAGTTTTTATTTTTCGAAATTTCTCTAACAAAATTATTTTAGGAATGATTTTTTAACTAAATAATAATTTTTTTTAAATAATTTTAAAAATAAGTTTTTATTTTTCGAAATTTCTCTAACAAAATTATTTTAGGAATGATTTTTTAACTAAATAATAATTTTTTTAAATAATTTAAAAATTAGTTTTTATTTATCGAAATTTTCCTAACAAAATTATTTTAATAGTGACTATTTTAGTCACTTGTAATTTTTTAAATAATTTTTAAGATTTATTTTATTTCTCATTTTTTAGTAAGCAATTTTCGGTAAAGCTTTTCTTTTATTTTACTTGCTATTCCCCTAACAAGCAATTTTCGGTAAAGCTTTTCTTTTATTTTACTTGCCATTCCCCTAACAAGCAATCCTCGGTAAAGCTTTTCTTTTATTTTACTTGCTATTCCCTAACAAGCAATTTTTGGTAAAGCTTTCCTTTTATTTTACTTGCTATTCCCCTAACAAGCAAATTTTACTTGCTATTTCCCTAACAAGCAATTTTTGGTAAAGCTTTTCTTTTATTTTACTTGCCATTCCCCTAACAAGCAATCCTCGGTAAAGCTTTTCTTTTATTTTACTTGCTATTCCCCTAACAAGCAATTTTGTAAAGCTTTTCTTTTATTTTACTTGCTATTCCCCTAACAAGCAATTTTCGGTAAAGCTTTCCTTTTATTTTACTTGCTATTCCCCTAACAAGCAATTTTCGGTAAAGCTTTCCTTTTATTTTACTTGCTATTCCCCTAACAAGCAATTTTCGGTAAAGCTTTTCTTTTATTTTACTTGCTATTCCCCTAACAAGCAATTTTCGGTAAAGCTTTTCTTTTATTTTACTTGCTATTCCCCTAACAAGCAATTTTCGGTAAAGCTATTCTTTTATTTTACTTGCTATTCCCCTAACAAGCAATTTTCGGTAAAGCTTTTCTTTTATTTTACTTGCTATTCCCCTAACAAGCAATTTTCGGTAAAGCTTTTCTTTTATTTTACTTGCTATTCCCCTAACAAGCAATTTTCGGTAAAGCTTTTCTTTTATTTTACTTGCTATTTCCCTAACAAGCAATTTTTGGTAAAGCTTTTCTTTTATTTTACTTGCCATTCCCCTAACAAGCAATTTTTGGTAAAGCTTTTCTTTTATTTTACTTGCCATTCCCCTAACAAGCAATTTTTGGTAAAGCTTTTCTTTTATTTTACTTGCTATTCCCCTAACAAGCAATTTTTGGTAAAGCTTTTCTTTTATTTTACTTGCTATTCCCCTAACAAGCAATTTTTGGTAAAGCTTTTCTTTTATTTTACTTGCTATTCCCCTAACAAGCAATTTTTGGTAAAGCTTTTCTTTTATTTTACTTGCTATTTCCCTAACAAGCAATTTTCGGTAAAGCTTTTCTTTTATTTTACTTGCTATTTCCCTAACAAGCAATTTTCGGTAAAGCTTTTCTTTTATTTTACTTGCTATTCCCCTAACAAGCAATTTTTGGTAAAGCTTTTCTTTTATTTTACTTGCTATTCCCCTAACAAGCAATTTTTGGTAAAGCTTTTCTTTTATTTTACTTACTATTCCCCTAACAAGCAATTTATGGTAAAGCTTTTCTTTTATTTTACTTACTATTCCCCTAACAAGCAATTTTTGGTAAAGCTTTTCTTTTATTTTACTTGCTATTCCCCTAACAAGCAATTTTCGGTAAAGCTTTTCTTTTATTTTGCTTGCCATTCCCCTAACAAGCAATCCTCGGTAAAGCTTTTCTTTTATTTTACTTGCTATTCCCCTAACAAGCAATTTTCGGTAAAGCTTTTCTTTTATTTTACTTGCCATTCCCCTAACAAGTAATCCTCGGTAAAGCTTTTCTTTTATTTTACTTGCTATTCCCCTAACAAGCAATTTTCGGTAAAGCTTTTCTTTTATTTTACTTGCCATTCCCCTAACAAGTAATCCTCGGTAATGCTTTTCTTTTATTTTACTTGCTATTCTCCTAACAAGCAATTTTCGGTAAAGCTTTTCTTTTATTTTACTTGCCATTCCCCTAACAAGCAATTTTCGGTAAAGCTTTTCTTTTATTTTACTTGCTATTTCCCTAACAGGCAATTTTCGGTAAAGCTTTTCTTTTATTTTACTTGCTATTTCCCTAACAAGCAATTTTCGGTAAAGCTTTTCTTTTATTTTACTTGCTATTTCCCTAACAAGCAATTTTCGGTAAAGCTTTTCTTTTATTTTACTTGCCATTCCCCTAACAAGCAATTTTTGGTAAAGCTTTTCTTTTATTTTACTTGCCATTCCCCTAACAAGCAATTTTCGGTAAAGCTTTTCTTTTATTTTGCTTGCCATTCCCCTAACAAGCAATCCTCAGTAAAGCTTTTCTTTTATTTTGCTTGCTATTCCCCTAACAAGCAATTTTCGGTAAAGCTTTTCTTGTATTTTGCTTGCCATTCCCCTAACAAGCAACCCTCGGTAAAGCTTTTCTTTTATTTTGCTTGCCATTCCCCTAACAAGCAATCCTCGGTAAAGCTTTTCTTTTATTTTGCTTGCCATTCCCCTAACAAGCAATCCTCGGTGAAGCTTTTCTTTTATTTTACTTGCTATTCCCCTAACAAGCAATTTTCGGTAAAGCTTTTCTTTTATTTTACTTGCCATTCCCCTAACAAGCAATTTTCGGTAAAGCTTTTCTTTTATTTTTCTTGCTATTTCCCTAACAAGCAATTTTCGGTAAAGCTTTTCTTTTATTTTACTTGTCATTCCCCTAACAAGCAATTTTTGGTAAAGCTTTTCTTTTATTTTACTTGCTATTCCCCTAACAAGCAATTTTCGGTAAAGCTTTTCTTTTATTTTACTTGCCATTCCCCTAACAAGCAATTTTCGGTAAAGCTTTCCGGTAATTTTACTTGCTATTTCCCTAACAAGCAATTTTCGGTAAAGCTTTTCTTTTATTTTACTTGCTATTTCCCTAACAAGCAATTTTCGGTAAAGCTTTTCTTTTATTTTACTTGCTATTTCCCTAACAAGCAATTTTCGGTAAAGCTTTTCTTTTATTTTACTTGCCATTCCCCTAACAAGCAATTTTCGGTAAAGCTTTTCTTTTATTTTGCTTGCCATTCCCCTAACAAGCAATCCTCGGTAAAGCTTTTCTTTTATTTTGCTTGCTATTCCCCTAACAAGCAATTTTCGGTAAAGCTTTTCTTTTATTTTGCTTGCCATTCCCCTAACAAGCAACCCTCGGTAAAGCTTTTCTTTTATTTTACTTGCTATTCCCCTAACAAGCAATTTTTGGTAAACTTTTCTTTTATTTTACTTGCTATTCCCCTAACAAGCAATTTTTGGTAAAGCTTTTCTTTTATTTTACTTGCTATTCCCCTAAACAAGCAATTTTTGGTAAAGCTTTTCTTTTATTTTACTTGCTGTTCCCCTAACAAGCAATTTTTGGTAAAGCTTTTCTTTTATTTTACTTGCTATTCCCCTAACAAGCAATTTTCGGTAAAGCTTTCCTTTTATTTTACTTGCCATTCCCCTAACAAGCAATTTTCGGTAAAGCTTTTCTTTTATTTTACTTCCTATTCCCCTAACAAGCAATTTTCGGTAAAGCTTTTCTTTTATTTTACTTGCTCTTCCCCTAACAAGCAGTATAAAAAATTTTATTGAAAATTGCTTGTTAAAGAAATAATTAATGAAAAAACTTTATAAATTTTTAAAATTATTCTAAAATTATAAAATTTTTATTTATTAAATAAAATTAAATAAGTAGAATTTAATTTTATTAAATAAAATAATTAAAAATTATAAATTTTAATCCAAAAAAAAATAATAAATAATTTAATGCTACAGATAAATAACTTTTTCAAGCTAAATATATTAATTTATCATAACGAAATCGAGGTAAAGTCCCCCGAACCCAAATTCAAAAAAATGAAATAAAAACTAATTTAAAAAAAAATATTATAGTAAAAATATCCCCTCCTAAAAATAATATACAACAAAGCATACTTATAAATAAAATTCTGCTATATTCAGCTAAAAAAATCATCGCACAACCCCCTCTCCTATACTCAACATTAAATCCAGACACTAACTCAGATTCTCCTTCAGCAAAATCAAAAGGAGTGCGATTAGTTTCAGCTAAACTTGAAACTAATCATATTATAGATAAAGGTAATAATAAAAAAATAAATCAAATTTTTACTTGATATTTTATAAAATCTAATATATTAAGTCTTAAAATTAAATATAAAAATGATAATAAAATTAAAGCTAAACTTACTTCATATGAAATTGTCTGAGCTACAGCTCGCAAACTTCCCAATAAAGCATAATTTGAATTAGAAGCCCAACCTGCTAATATTACAGTATAAACGCCTAATCTAGAAACTCTCAAAAAAAAATAATATTGATAAATTAAATCTTAAATTTACAGAAAAAAAAGGCATACAAATTCATAAAAATAAAGATAAAAAAAAATTTATTACAGGAGAAAAATAATATAAATTAAAATTTGACATTAAAGGAAAAGTTTGCTCTTTAGTAAACAATTTAATAGCATCTCTAAATGGTTGAATTAACCCCAATATACCGACTTTATTAGGGCCCTTACGAATATGGATATAACCTAAAACTTTTCGCTCTAATAAAGTCAAAAAAGCTACCCCAATCAAAACACAAATTAATAAAATTAATCTAAAAAATATCATTATTAATAAATCTTTTAAATACAATATTATTTGTAAAATAAATTACATATAAAGATTCTAAATCTATCGCACTATTCTGCCAAAATAATAATTTTACCCCTTTCCTATAAAATTATTTCTAATATTCAATCCTTTCGTACTAAAATATTAAATTTAAATTAAAGATAGAAACCAACCTGGCTCACACCGGTTTAAACTCAGATCATGTAAAATTTTAAAGGTCGAACAGACCTAATATTCCCAGCTTCTGCACCAAAAATTAATTTAGTCCAACATCGAGGTCGCAATCTTTATCTTCGATTAGGACTCTTTGATAATATCACGCTGTTATCCCTAAGGTATTAAATCTTACAATATTACTAATAGATCACATATACATAATTAGTGATCAAAATTTAAAAAAAGTTCAATTAATTTTTCAATCACCCCAATAAATAATCAAAAAAAATTAAAAATTTTTTATACTAAAAAAAAATTAAAATTTTTAAATATAAAACTCTATAGGGTCCTTCTCGTCTTTTAATTAATTTTAGCTTTTTAACTAAAAAATAAATTTTTAATGTTTAAATAGAGACAGAAATTTTTTATCCAACCATTCATTCCAGCTTCTAATTAAGAAACTAATGATTATGCTACCTTAGCACGGTCAAAATACCGCGGCCATTTAAATCCTCAGAGGGCAGTCTAGACCTAAAATTAAAATCAAGAGGACATGTTTAATAACAGGTAAAAAATAATTTGCCGACGATTCCTTTATATAATCTTAAATTTTTTAAATAAATTTACATTAAAATTATACTAATTTTACCATTATTACTTAATTTAAAAAATTTTAATTATTATTTTAATAAAAAATTTATAAATAATATATAAATAATATTTAATTATAAATAATTATAACATTTTTATTATGATAGAAACTTTTAATCTTACAAATTAAATTTTAATATATATTAAATAATAAAATTATATTATTAAGCTTATCCCTAATAATATAAAATATAAAAAATAAAAATTATTAATTTAGATTTTTATTGATTTATATTTAAAATTAAATTTTTTTCTTTGATATATTTAAAAACGAATAACATTTCATTACTAAACATTTATTAGTATTTATACAACAATAAAAAATAAATTTTTAACTCTTTTAAATTCGAAACAATAAATAATCAATTATTTTATTTAGTAAACCCTGATACACAAGGTACAAAAAATTAATTTTTCTTAAAATTAAATAATTTATTCTTTCACAATACTATTAAACTATCATAATAAAAATCATTTCTCTAAAAATAATAAAACAAAAATTTACTTATTTTAAATTTTTTAAGTTAAATACTTAATTTTAATAAACATAAATTTTCAAGTTAAATTGAATTTCACAATTAACTTTTAATGTAAATAAAATACTTCTATCAGCTCTAACTTGTCTTTCTAGAGACACTTTCCAGTACATCTACTTTGTTACGACTTATTTCATTTTAAAATGAAAGCGACGGGCGATATGTACATATTTTAGAGCTTGAATCATCTTAAAAAAATTTAAAAAATTACTCTCAAATCCAAATTCAAATTTTTTTAATAAAATTATTTTTAAATAAATTTATTGTAACCCATTTCTTCTTTATTATAAACTACACCTTGATCTGATTTATTTTTTAATAAAAAATTTTAAATATTTCCAATTCTATTAAAATATTTAACTACGACGCTATATAAACTAATAAATAAAGTGCATCTAATCGTGGACTATCAATTATAGAACAGGTTCCTCGGAAAGACTAAAATACCGCCAAATTTTTTAATTTTCAAGAACATAACTAATCTAAAGTAAGTAAAAAAAAATTTACATTTTTAATATAGGGTATCTAATCCTAGTTTAAACTAAAATTTTAAGCTTCATTTTACTATTCAAATTTTATCTAAAATTGTAAATTCACCTAATAAATCTATTACAAAAGTATTTTTAAAAACTAACTTTTACTAAAAAAATTAATTTATATTATTTGTGTAACCGCAACTGCTGGCACAAATTTTGTTAATATTTAACTCTATTCCTAAATCTAAATTTCTTTAAAATTTAATTTTATTTACTGCGAATAAATTCATAAAATATTTTTTAAATAATAATTTTAATTTCAACCAAAATTTGCATATAAAAAAAAGAATAACTTAATTCCATTAATTTACTGCAAAATTAAATATAAACTTTATTTATGAATAAATTTTATTATTTTAATTTATTAATATAATTATAAAATATAAATTAATTATAATCTTTTAACTTTTCCCTTTAAAATAATTTAAATTAATTAACACTTAAACTCTTTAACAAACAATTCTAACAAAATTATTTAAATCAAATTTTGATTTACTAGCAAGCAATTCCTAACAAAATTATTTTAATCATATATAATTTAATTAAATTAAATTTTAAAAATAGTTAAAATAATTTATTTTTATTAACAAATTATTAATAAATTATTTTTACATCTTTTACCCCCCCTAACCAATAATGAATTTTTTTTAGTACTCTTTCACTACCCGAATAAATTAACTTTAATTATTATCAGAAATTAATTTATATTTAAATACTCTCAAATTTTAAATACCACTTTTTTACCGCATAAAAAAAATCAATTATCAACATAAAATTAAAAATCTCGCCCCTATATAATTTTTGCTTTACAAACAAATTTAATTTTTAAATATTCGTTTTTTTTCGTAAATTCAAATAATGGAAATTAGGGTTTTTTTTTTTTTTCAT